CATGCACCAGCTTCCCCCTCCCACCCCAGCGTCCACTCGGCTGTGGGGGAGCTGTGCTTTGGGGACTGGCCAACCTGGGTCCCAGAGGCCAGGGCTGGCACACAGGCCTCCAGAGGACCCCAGCAACATCACACTGAGGTCTTCAGTTTCACAGCTCTCCTCCTACTGCTGGTGCTGCTGCCACTTGTGTCCCAGGTCAGCTGGGGCCAGGGAGGAACCCAGGGAACACAGGTCTGCATTGCTGGTTGCACTGGTGGAGAGATTTATGGTGTTTTGCAGCTAAAAAGGTGATGCTCAAAGACAGGCTCACCTTTGACAATGAAGCATGTCCCAGCAAGATCAGCTCCCCCATGTAGCAAGGTCCAGCTGATTTGGAAATAACCTGCATTTCCAGAGAGACAAAACGTTTCCTACTTCCCACATTTCATCCCCATAAAAAGAAAACCCAGGCGATGCCACAGTCCAAGTGTGGCCCCTACCCATACTGTCACCCCTTGCAACTACGGTCGCAGCCTGACTTGTACACTGCTCCTGCTGTCAGAACACAGGACTGTCCTGGAGCACTTCCAGGGCTCCTCGTTACCCACAGAACATCCCCTGATGCCCGAGGCTCCTCATATTCATGTGACATTCCCACAAGCTTCACAGCACCCCAATGCTTCGTGCCATGGACCTGCCAAAGATGCTGAGCAGAGGGTCTGCCCGCTCTATCTGGGGGAAGAAGTGGCACAGGAAGAAACCCAGCAGAGCTCAGGGGTGAGGTGACTGGCTGGAAGGGAAACCAGTTTCAAACTGCAGGCTCAGAGTCCTGCTGCCTCACTCCCTCCCGAGCTCTGGGATCAAACCATTGCACCCACAAAACCATGCGCGTTATTACTCAGCAGAGTCCCTAAAACCCAGGGAGCACCAGCGTGGCAGCACCGAGGTGTGGGGAAGCCTCAGCAACACTCAGCTCAGCGCCCGTCCCCTTGTCCAACACCCACATCTCACTACAGGCACCACGCGGGGGCTGTATGTGCCTTCTGCTCTCTTCCCCTCCCTCTGCCCCACCACCACCAGATTATGGATGTTAGATGTTTCGTTCTGTCTGCCTCCCCCTCCTTTAATATTCCTTATGGCTCTGTTCCCCACGAATTTGCCTTTTAAAAAAAAAAAAAAAAACAAAACCACAAACCGACCCCAAAACCTTCTGCTGATACCATCTGCCTCAACACCCTGGGGCAACAAATTTCAGCATCTTACACCCTAACAAATTCCAGAAGCTTACACCCTGCTCTGTAACAAAGTTACTCCACGTTTTGAGCTGACTTCACGCTAGCTAAGTGCCTCTCTGGTACTTGTCACGCTGAGGAGATAAGCAGCAGGTCAGCATCCACTGCCATCACAATTTAGTGGATTTTGTAACACAGAGCCACAAATAAATTTAGGCTGGAAGGGACCTCTAGAGGACATCTGCTGCAACCTCCAGCTCACTGCAGGGCTGATCCCGCCTCTCAATCTCAGTCTTTCCCTCTCCATACCGAGGCCTCCAAGCCTTTGCAGTGTCACCTGGCAGGCTGCTGCTCCATCCCATTTATCATTACTGCCCTCCTCTAGCTCCACTACATCCTTCTGGAGACATGAAGTCCAGAGCTGCATGCAGGACTCAAGGCACCAGCACAGCAAAACTCCAGAGCTGCAAAATAAAGGCAGACACAAACCAGATGTCAACATTTACATGAACTATCTGCTTCTCTTTGTATAAAACTTTAAAAAAAATTTATTTGGAGTTTAGAAGTCAAAGGGGTTTTGCCCCTTCTCAAAATTTCTTGGTGTAGCAGCACTACTGGTGGATCACCTAGCCCCAGGCCCTCCAGCTGATAAAGGACAACCTCCTCTGGTACAGCTCAGCACTTGTGAAAGACACAAGAAATGACCTAAAAGTAGAGGTCTCCAGAGCTCCTTGAAAAGCCCAGGGCTGACCCAGCAGACAGAAGTCCATCAGGGTACTTCTTCAGTGTTGTCAACCTGCACATTTGGTATGACTTCCTACTGTCACACAAGATTTCAGAGTCACAAGGTACAGTTACATGGGTGAGGTGATGGGGTTAGTAGCACCCGATAGCCTCTCTTAAGGTACAGCATAAAAAACACTCCCCATCACTTAGATTTTTCCTTCTTACTTGCAGTAAACGATGCCCAGCCACCCATGACAGAGCCTGGGTCCCAAGCCATTGTCATCAGCACAACACACGTGACCTGACATGAGGCAGAGCCCAGCAGAACAGCTCTGTGCCCATCCACGATAGCGATGAAAATAAGCAACTATTTCAAGAGAGAGGGTATAGCACAGGGATGGGATTTTACAGGCTAGACTCCAGATAAACCCACACTACAATTTGTAAATGAAAAAAAAAAAAAGCCTAGGGAATGGGAGAAACATAAGGAGAGGATTCCCTCCCTGAAACAGGGCCACCGGGGAGGGTCTCACCACAGAGGATGCTGCAGGAGCCATCTGGCGGGTGGGCTGGCCTCCAGGCAAGTAACCCATAGGGTATTTTGCCAAGTTAGAGGCTACCATGGAGGGAGTTGCACAGATGAGCTGCAGCAAAGCCCCCAGGTCTGAGGCAGCGGTCCCTGACGCTGCAAACTGGCTTAGGCACCAACACTGAAAGAGAGACACAGCACTCGTAAACCAGGCATTTTAATAGGCAAGACATTTTCTCAGTAAACAGGGACTGCCTTCACGAGCAGGGGTGGCTCAATCCCACAGCAGCCAGCGTTAATGACCGATTTCAGAAAACACATAGCTCAACCCATCACTTTTGCCATGTATGGGTGGCCCAGCACACACGCAGCACCGTTGCCTAAGCCCCATCACAACAAAAGGATTCCCTCCCACAAGCGTCGCAACCTCTTCCCAGTTAGCACAGCACTCAGAGTTTTGCAGAACATGAGGAGAATTAACACAGGCAAGGTTTAATCCAGCAATACCCTCAAGGCCTCAACCCGCGAGGCATTAAGCACTGTTTTGTCCTCAGAAGGCAGAATGTGAGATGTTTTCTAGATCTGGCTCTCCGGTGGTAAGCAGTGGTGGCTGGAGAGCAGACCCTCAGCAGCTGTCACCTGAGCCCACTGAAGCCTCGAGAGCAAGCTTCATTTTTTGGTATTAATGCAAACTCTGTCCTAAGCTACGTTTGTGCAAATACTCATATCCCTTCAGTCTGGGCAATGGTCAGAAACTCCATTCACACCCCAGGTAAATCGCTACAGCATACGCTCAAGGCCAATGTTTAATAATCTTTCTGACTATCTATAAAGTCACTTAGTTGTTTGCAAGTGTTTCCAGGATAAACAGTTTTTCTGCCACTTTACAAAAATAGCCACCTGGTTGGAGACAGGTTCTAGTGATCTAACCCTGTCACCAAAGAGTGTTCAAAAATATTGTGCTTCTGGAAAAAAAAAAAAGAAAAAAGCCAGCAGATTTCAGCAGAGACCCTTGGCAGCTTGCGCTTCACACACAGATTGGAAGAGGCACAAATCTAGACGATTTCATAGTACCTTTCCCACAGCAGGTTAAAGGAGGTGAATTCCTTGATTAAGGTTCAGATATGAGAAGAATAAATCACTAGTATTCGGTTATTAAAAAAAAAGTGCATTACCCCGCACAAAAAACATCCAAGGCGATCAGGCTGTCTCCTTCCATCCATCCCAAACCAGCTAGAGGTCACTACACACCACGTTTACAAGCTTTGGTTTTTTTTACCTTCAAACAATACTTTGGCACTTTTCAAGCTTTTTGACTGAATTAACTTCCAAAGTAAACAAGTTGTAAAGTTCAACAGCTACCCTGCATTCAAGATTGCTAAAAAAATAATCACTAATTAGGCTTCATGAAAATAAAATGAAGCCCTCAGTCTAAGTACAAGTCAGCGCAGGTCAGCTGTACGAGAAGAAATACCCACTTTGCTCATATAGAGACAAATTAGCCAGAAAATAAGGCCTGGACCATCCAGAAGAGGCTCCATCAATGCAACGGGATGCAGCAGCAGCAATCTCCACTTCATGCAACAGCATGCTGAAAACAAGAAGTCACCTACGTCTAAGGACTTAATTTTCAGCGTGTCAGAGGAGCACAGGACGTACTTGTGATGAAGTTGTGGTGTCCAAAGCAGCCAGATTTGATCTTTATAGGCAGAAATTAAGTCCTCTGGCTATCCACACTCATCCTCACCCACAGTTCGGCATTCTATTTGTCATCAGCAACACGTGCACATTATGGCAAAAGGAAAGAAAATGAGGGAGAAAAACCCCAAACACCTAACCCAGCACAAGATCTCACATGATGGCCAAATTCTCTCTTCCAGCCGTTACCTCTGTCATTTTTGGTAGCCTCACTTCTGTCGGAGACGCGCCGGGAGCAGACAGATCCCACACAGAGACACACAGCGCACCCTCAGACGCACAGGTGAAAAACAAAAAGGGAAGGAGAGAAGGGCGAAGGTGATGGAAGAATGAGATGGCTCTTCTCCTGGTGGGGGTGCCCGTAGCCGCAGGCTCTTCCAGTGCCCTACTGTCCACTGGGAGAGAGGGTGTGGGGGCTTTGGCAAGATGACGGTTACATAAAGAAGAAGCTACAGAAAGAGAAAAAACAGAAAAGAAAAGAAACAGAGGTTCAGAATTGAAATTAAAAAGTGAGAGAGGGAAAAAAAAATAAAAGGAGAAACAACATTTTAAAGAAAGTAAGCCATGAAGGGAAGAGTGCAGTGGGAAGGTGTCATATGAACCAACTACACCAGGGAAGCTTGGACCTCTTCAAGACACCGGCTGATTTGGAGCACAAGCCCACAAACACCACAAAACAACCCAACAGAAACACCAGCACAAACCTACAGAGGCATCTCAAAGGCACAAAACAACCTGTGGGGAAACTTCACATTTCCTCATTCCCTCCTGTCACGCTGTTACAGGCAATGGCAACAGCAAAACAAAGTCACAAAGGCCACGCAAAGACCAAAGCGTTTGGGTAAAAATATATTTCCTCTCCCCACTTCAAATGTTGCCACTATTTGTGTATGTAATCTAAAGCATATACAAGAAATAACTGAGCTTATGCTAGAAGGTTATTATTCAATTTGTAATTCAAAAACTGAAATATTTTAACATCAAATAAAGTGACAGTATCTATCAGATGCATACATATAATTTGCATTAACACTGTATGTAGGTTACACAACTCAGTTACAAACACGGGTTATTTTCAAATAGCAAGGTAATAAAGTTCTACATCTATAGTTTAAGGCAATCAGGATATTAAAAATGTATACAAATACAATATTTCTACCGCTGTTCACAGCTTTATTTTCCGTTAATTAAAAAACCCTTCATATTTGTACAGTTCCACGCTGATACACGCTGATGAAAGCGTTATGGATATCATGTACTGCAAATGCAACCAGGGTCCTTGGAGAAGAGACAAATACGCACTCTTCTAACATCTTAGAAGGGCAAATGGTAACCAGATTCAAATGGACATATCTGATATGATCACACACAAAAAGACATTCCCATTCTCACTTGGACGTTTTAGGAGAAGCAGGATGAAGCTACCTGGAGAAACACTGGTCATGTTAAATAAAAAACATGCTTAAAGAGAGACACAAAGATACAAATCTCCTGGAGAGGATTTCAAGCCGTCAAAAACACGTGGAGGGGGTGACACAAGTTGCAGTTTCCAGGCTGCAGAGGAACCCAGGGTGGGTGCCAGTCGCTGCTTTGCCCTCCCCGGCAGCATCATACACCACAGGAGATGCAAGGCAATGCATGTAATGACCATGAGCAAGAAGGGCTCCTGCCTACTCACTGCCCTCCTGGAAGGTAACTGTGCAACCCCAGTGAGGTTTCAGGGGAGCAAACGCTTACTCATCTCCACCTTTCCGGCTGCCTGCTGGATGCACACATGCCCACCTCGACAGAGCAGCTGCAGCCCCTCTCAGCCACCTGGATTTTGTTTGTTTTCCCATTCTGGGGGTTCATTCCATGCCCTGGGAACACTATCATCCCAGAAACACAAGTTTTGGTGTGCTTTCTTACTCCTGTATATTATTCTAAGGTTTGAAATCCACCTTGTCAGAAACATGCAGCATTAACAGCTGGTTATCGTTGCTGTCTAAAGCACGTGAAAGGCTGCAGTGCCTCTCAGGCAAGGCTTGGGCCCATGCAACCATCTGTCCAGCTTCACCAGCTGCCTTGCTGGCTTCGAGCATGCAGAGAAGCTGTGCAGGGTTGCTTTAGGCATTCAACAGGAGCTGGATGCCGTGTTCCCTCTGGCTTCTTTTCAACATCGCAGCAAAAGCAGATGATTGCGGAAAGTTTTCGAGCAGTTTTAACAATGCCACTTGCAAGTAAGTGGACTTAAAGAATCCCCCCCAGAAAAACACAACTGTATCAGTAGCGAGGCAGAAAGGGTGAGTCTCTTACTACTGTACTTACATGCAAAAGTGAAAGCACATCCAACTAGATTTGAGTGTATCATTTACTCCATGCAGAATCAGGGGCTACTGTGAAAAAAGGCATAAGTAAAGAGAAGAAAGAAGTGCAACAGTAACAAGCTAAACATGGCCCAGGGTTTAAGGAGAACAAGAAGTTATCTACATCTCCTTTGGCAAAAAAACCAAAACAGTACCTTCAGCTCTTGCAAGTTTAGGGTTCATTCCCAGTTTCTCCAAAACAGCTTGGTTTTTGCTGAAGAAACCCAACCAAAAATATCTTTAATGCACTTGGCCACAGCTTTCCATAAAAAAAAAAAAAAAAAAAATATGGCTAGACTCAGCTGATTTCTCCTGCCAAACATCCCTTGAAAAGCTGTTAAAGAACACAGGGCAAATAAATGTTAAAATTAAGTTTTCTACTTGGCACAAAATGCTGGTAATTAAAAAGAGGACACGCACAGAAACAGCTGAAGCAAAGCATATTGCCACAAGCATTTGGTGATGTGCATATGATATGACTATAAAAAAAAATAAAAAATGTCCAAACCCAAACTTCTTCCTTGATAATTCAAGATTTTAAAGCTGGATTTGCCAGAAGCCACAGGAACCATACTTTAATTTTTCCAAACAACCCCCTAGCCAACCTATTTAACCTGGCAAAGAGAGCATCACAGTTAATAGCTCGCACCTCCTGTGTTAAGAAAAAATAAACAACAAGAAAACACTAAACAACCCACCAGAAAAAAAAAACCCAAACGAAAAAACAAGAGGAAAGGCTCAACTATTTTGTTTCCAGATGTACAGCCAAAAATTTATCTCCAATCAATTTCTGCTGTCTGTCCAAGACATCGTATTTAGATTTCCTTTTCCCAGAGCCATGTTTAAACAGTGAAGGTTAAAAAGCAAAGACAACCCAGAAGCTAACCCCCAAACACATTTTCCAATCTAGCACTTCAGAAAAGGTGATAAATTCTGCCTTTATTTTCCTCTAGAGAGGCAGAAATTCCATCCCAGAAACAAGCAAAAAACTGCGGTGCGTGAGACTTAGGTGGAGAAAGTTATTTTTAAGAGTGCTTTATAGAAAGAAACAGGAGACTACCTAGCTAGGAGCAGTGGAAATGCTGGCTGTACATCAGCAGAAGAGAAAGAAATCCAGGAGTCAGAGGGTAAGCATGGCTCGCCACTTCTTGGGAAGGAAGGGAAAGACCCTGTCCAAAAAGCAATGGCATAGAAAATATACATTAAACAGACCAATTTCCATACCGTGCTGGCCACAGAGCGAGGCCTGGCTTATGCTAAATCTTCTTTTCATGTTCAAGGGACATCTGAATGGGACATTGTCCCTGGGCAGGAGGGCCAGTGGGGAGCTCAGAGAATGTATGTCCAGGTGCCCTCCCTCTGTTGACATGAATTGTGGATCCCACAGCTTTGTAAATATTTAAGTTCGTGCAGGAATCCTCCTGAAGGCTCCATCAGAGGCTGTTGAAGGCTATTGTCTTCCCCCACCCAAGCATTTGATTCCCTAAGGGCTGCTAAGTCTTGCTAAGATCATGCACACTGGAAAACAGGTACTATTTTAAGTGAGATTTCAAAGGTTATGGAAGCAACACATGGAAAGCAATAATGAGGAATGGTCCTTCTCCCAGGCCCCTGCGGCACCATTTGGTTCCCAGCGCAGCGTTCAGCAGGGAGCTACTGCACTGAACTGGAAAGGTGGCTGTGAAAACACTCCAGCACATGACGATAAATCCAAGCCAACTAGCATGATCAAGTCAGACAACAAAAACAGGAACTAATAAAAAATATCATGCAAATGTAATGGCATGCAAGGTCAGTTAAACTTTTGTTATCTACACACATGTACCCCCCCACCTCCCCTCCCCCAGCAGCGGGACTCATATTGCCCCAACTCGTTGGCTGTTTAAGGAATAAGGGTTGGACTAAACTCCAGGGTTTAGCCACACCAGGGACTGGGCTGTGACCTCCTACAGCAGTAACTCCCTGAGGCTGATTTCTGTTTCCCCAGGGTCCCTTTCAGCACAGGGCTATTGCAGCCAGCCCTCCAAGAGCTGGGGAGGCTAGCAGCCTGAGGACCTGATCCAGTCAATGACGTTCACCCAAGCTGCTGACATCCAACCCTGACTCTCAGTTCAAATTTGAAGCCAAAAATTATTTACTGCTGCTGGTTTTGACCAGAAAAATACATGGTATCATTACCTTGCCCCTCCACCCACCCCTGAGCTTCCAGTTGCATACAGTCCTGTACCCAATCCTTCTTCCTTCTTGTTCCCACTATGTTATTAGATGAGCTAATAGTTATTAATGTTAAAAAAATAAAGAAAAATAAAAAAAGAAAGAAAACAGATGGCAGAGACACATTACTGCAAAAGCAGGTGAATGCAGGAACATCCTTGGCTTGACAGGCTTTATGTGAAGCTTGCACTGCAAGTTAAAAAAAAGAACAAAAAACAAAAGAAGTTAGCAATAATGAAACCCAAAATGGAAAAAAATACCCACCCAAAATCAAAGAAAGCTGGGAGAGCCGACACCAGCAACCCGCTCTGGTGGGTGTGCATGCAGATGGATTATGCGATTAAAAAGAAATTAAACCTCAAAGTTGGGTTCTACTCTAGCCTATGACAAGCAAAAGCAAAAAGAAAAACTGAAGGGGCAGAACTACTGAACAACCAAGCACACAGGTTAGTCCAGGTTACAGTCTGTACGTGGCTGGTGTCTTTAAGCTTCCTTTTTTCAGGATGTGCATGGCTAGGGGTACGGTTGCAGGTGTCCAGTTTGGGTTATTTTCCATGGGTGCTCTCGCTGTGTGCTCAGCCTTTACCCAAACTCGGATATCTCAGACCCGGGCACCATGGCATCTCCCAGCACTTCAGCACATCAGCTTTTGGACCCAAGTCAGATCTTTCAGACATCAACAAACACCTCTTTTTACAGCCTGTTGGGCCAGGCCCTGAGATGTGTGTTACAGCTCAGGTCATAGGTGCGCATTAGAGCTCAGGGATTGCTTTGGGACGAAACGTGGCCCATGATGGCCAGATCAGTCACATTGGACAGGAGACTATTATACAGAAAGGAAACTGGAAAAAAAAGTTGATCTTCATCTGGTTTTCAGAAGCAGCTTGAAATAAACAGAAACAGAGCCCAAACAGATGGTCCTGGCTCCTGGGGTGGTTGAGGATGAGTAGCACAACAGCACGTGTTGAGGCATGCATGTGGCCATCTACCCAACAACAGGCAAGGACCAGAAGGCTATTTGCTGCTCCCGTTTGGTTTTGCCAAACCCATTGCCAGGAACCATCTCCACATTCTTCAGGTTTGAAGCACAGTCCCATCCCAAAGTTATGGCAAGGGCTTGGTATGTATGCTCAGCCCCACATTCAGGAGAGTACTTGAGTATGTGTCTGCTCTACAGTCACACAAGTGTCTGAGGTACACTGATGTGCTGTCCTGAGACCTGCACACTTCTGCCATCAGGCCAGAGGTGCAACAATTGTAGATGAAAAAAGCATAAGCTACAGGAATCTGAGAAATAGATTACAAAAAAAAGTTTTAAAAGACAAGTTGTTCCTGCAGGCATAGTCTAGAAAACAAGAGGGCCAAGGTCTCCCTCACAGAGTTAGGCCAGCAGCAGATTTCACCCTGAGCCTTCCCTCCAGCTTGCACAGCACAGTGGAAACTCTCTGTTGCCCAAGTTGGAGAAATCTGATCCCACCTTGAGAAAAAAAAAAAAAAAAAAAAAAAAAAAAAAAAAAAAAAAAAAAAAAAAAAAAAAAAAAAAAAAAAAAAAAAAAAAAAGAGCATTCCCATGAATTACTTTGAGAGACTACAAGGATCGTGCATGGCAAGGATTTCCTCGGGCACAACTGCCCAAGAACCACCACAGAGGACGGTTGAAAGCCTTACCTATACAAACTGCAGCTTTTCATTAGAGCGCAAGGAGGAACTTAAAGCCTTTAGAAAAACCAAGGTGTGCTACAAGGCAGAAGCATCAGCATTTCCCTTTAAAGCCTCCGTTAGTAATTCAGACACTAAGGAACAATTGAAGCAGTTACAGCACCTGGTGTGGAGCGACACTGAAAGGACACACTAAAACACGTGCACGTTCCTCATGACTGGATTTCTGTGAATGCATCAGCAAAGCAGAAACTGCGTTTGTCACGGTCGCTAGAAACATCCATGTATCACACCCACAACATTGTGTAATGTGCCAGCCAACTTCACAGAAGCAAATAGTAGCTAACACTGACTACCAAAAGTTACAAAACTCCCCAGACCATTACATACTGCACTGGTCTTGTGTCTAAGAGATGAAAAAACTAACTGCAGAGTTCTTAAAAATACTAAGCTATCAACTCCGTTTAAGAGATAAGAAAAAGTGTCTTCAAAATTTTCTAGGAAACAGGTCACCATGTCTGAATTCTCACATGAGAGAAGACTGGTGTTTCAGCCTCTCCTATTGACAGGCATCGTCGCAGGGCGGTATTTCAGCATGCTGGGACACTACCTGCCGACGCTTACTATTTCTACGGTTCAGCACAACACTCATCAGCCTGTAATGGTTTCTTCACCCGAGCAGAGCATGCAGCACACAAGCACTCTATGGATTTCAGCAGGTGCTGAAGGCCAGGTTCTAGTTAGCATAAAGCAGCAGGGCTCCATAGGAGCTACATTAATGTACATCAGCTGAGGAACTAGCCCTAGGCCCTCCCCACCTTCCCTAGGGAAGCCAGGGGCAGAAGCGACAAATGACAGGTACCAAACCAGCAGTAGAGACAGGGGACATGCAGTGAGCGACAGCATAACCTCCCCGAGTATAAAAATATACTAGTGTATATGCAATACAACAGAACCTCATAGGCTCACGCTGTAAGACAGCTCAGACCTGGCTGAAGTTCACAGGTCAGCAAGGGAGACAAAAGCGTCTATACCACGTCCCTACCAGCATTTTGGTTCTTCTGACAGCTTAGTGTTTATTGAGCAGGTAACTCTGCCAGAGTCTATTAAGGAGTGCACCCCTTCACTATCAGCCATTAAGAGAAGTATGGAACTGTCGGTTTTGTGTGTGGGTTAAAGCAGCATTTTCCTGTGAGATTCGCTGCATTACTCTCTTTATAGCTTTCCTGATTGCAGTTATCAACTAGCACTGTTATCACAGATGACCCAGAAAGGACTTGTATGAGTATTCCCTTACTGGATATGGAAAAATTGGTGGAAATTACGACAGGAGGCCTCAAAGCTGGAGGCCTCTGTTACAGCAACCTGTCCTGCTGTGCTACACAAACAAGCCATGCACAGCCTACTTCACCTCTGCAAGGTCTGTCTGGCTTCACTGTATGCTCACCTCAGTGAACCTTGCGTTCTGGTTTTTAAAGCGCAGTGAAGTAGCCAGTATCCTATAATAAATAGAGGTCTCTTGCACTAATAGCCAGGTAGACATAGCCATCTCCAAGTACAGGCTGCGAGAAGGGTTCAATCAATTTGGATCTATCTAGAGCTCAAGGTTTTCAGCAGAGCTCTGCAGTGACTTAACTCTGAGCCCAAGTCAATTCCTCCAGTTTCAACGGAAGCAGAGTTAGGTCCAAACTGAGCACATCTGAAAATCTCGCCTCCAAATACTGACCATGGGACAGACCGTCCACAGATACACTTGGTGCCGACTGTGGGTACTGGAGGGTACAGGGTTATACTCCTAGCATACAGATATAAAATAGTAGAAAACAGTGTCATTATCGTTACTAAAAAGGCATGGGTTTTTTAGCTTATTATGTGAACTCCATACAACCACAAATGCCATTTACCTGCAATTACAGTACCGTAGTAGTTTGGGTTTTTTTTTTATAAGAAAAACAACACACAAACAAACCCCAAAATTCTTGTCTTTAAAGCAAGCTTCCAAGTATTCACTTTTGGCACTAGCATTTCCCATGTAAAAATAACATGGTAGTTTTGGTTTCTAATTTACTCCTGCTTACAACTATAACCTTAAGGGATGGGAACTGGAGACTACTCTCGAGTGAAAGAAAGGACGGGTAGAGATGCCCTTAATAGTTTTGGCTCAGGCAGATAAATCTGAGCCCAGAACATCTCAGAGCTATACCAGAAGATGCTGGACAGATCACAGGTCAAAACTCCACCATCCGATTGCTCTCCCATACCAGTCAGACTTCAACATAAAATTTAAAGGTACTCTTCTAGAGAAAAATTAAGATCATGTCCCTGGCCCACCCTTTAGAAAAAAATATTTTATTTGATCAGGCTGATAAAAGCCCAGTTTCCAGTCTGGTAATGGGGAAAAGCAAATACAGACATGCAGCAAGAAAGAAAAAACAACCTCCCAAATTGTATTAATCCCTACAAAGGACTTGGGTGACATCCGCTTACTTTTTCTTGTCCTTGTCTTTCTTGGTTTGTTGAGAACCTGCCTGCTGAGCCTGTGACTGTAATAGCTGAGCTGCTGCCTTCTTCTTTTGAAAATTGTTAAGCTCTTCCTCAAGTTCCTTCTTTTTGTCTTCCACTTTTTTCTTCTCTTCTTGGTGTGTCCTCTTTAGATGGTCAAACTTTTCGTGAAGCTGCGGGCACAGAGAAAATGAGAATTGGACAGGAAGAGAAGTATGTTTCACCTCAATTACTGGTAATGACGCCTGAAGCAGCTCCACTGGCTCCGAGACCTCAGTGCATTAATAACAGACAGACACTGGTCTGTCCCACACATGCCTGACCTTGTGAGAAAAGCCCTGCGTGCGCACACATATGGCAGGAATTTAAGTTGCTGTCGAAATGACAGGTCCCCAGACACTTCCAAACCCTCATGTTCCACCTGTCATTGCTTTTACATAGTGGACCCTCTCATGCAAGGCGAGAAAACATACCTATTTCGGACAATATTTTTCTCTGAGGCTCTCCTCTGTACCTCTGTAGAAGCATACGCTCCTTGGTAAGGCCTAAAAAACATCTACCTCCCTAGCAGGACATTTACATGTTCTCTGTCCCACAGCAGTGCTCAGCTCCATGCACTGAGCAAATCACAGCAGGGCAGCTCTCAAAGGGCTCTGCCACGTTCCTCTACAACTATGCTGAGTGGTACTCACTGCCCTCTGGGAAGTCCTTATCTGCTTACTGGAAGTCTCCAGCTAGGTGTGACTACTCAAGGGCAGCACTGGTTGTGCCATACCTGAAGATCCACTGCAAATCAACATTATGTTGAGTAGCAGACATATTCTCTCCTTTGGGTGGGACTGAAGAGGTGAGAGAGCAGAGAGGACTCCTATGGCACAGCAAGGCTGGTATTTCTGTGGGGTACGTAGCCACAGCTGTTGTTACTGTCACTGCAGCACCTCCCACTTGCTCCATGGTTTATATCCTCCTCCAGCTGCCACAAACCAGGGAATACTGCTGCTCCATTTTATATGCCCAGAAAAGTAGCAGAGGACTTGTGTAATGGGGTCATGCCACAAGTCCATGGCAGGACTGGGAATTGAATTTGTATCTGCTTCTTGAGGCTCTTTATGTACAGCAAGCACCTCTGCAGGCTTGATGTCAGAACCTGGATGCTCACCTTCTCAGGGCTCTCTTGGAAAAGCCCCAGCCTAAATCCTTACACGCAGTCCTCCGAGTTACAATATACTCACATCTTTCTCTGCTTCCTTCAACTCTGCTTCCTTCTCCTTCACTCGCATGACGAACATCTGCCTCATTTCATCCTCCTTCTTCTGGAGCTCACCCAGAAATTCATTCCTCTTTGCTTCATAAGTCTCTTGGAGACTGTAAAAACACAGAAAAGAAACAGTCATAACTGTGTTTCAAGCACAGTCATGAGTTTTTCAGTGTTATTACGGCACCGTGTCGTCACAAAACATCGTCAGAGGTTCCCAATTGCAACAGAGGCACGAACACCTCCACTGAAACCAGTTCTAAAGCTTGCTAGGTGGCAGCAGTGGGAGACAAACTGGCAAACAAAAATGAGCACACCGTTCAGGATCCTGTAAATGACTTAAAAGGTAGGATGACTATCCTCAAAAATAAACAGCCACTATTTAAGCACCTACAGTAATCCCTGATGCTCACATGGCTTGTGATCCATTTGAGTCACACCTCCTCATTTCTCCCACTGTCTGTCCTGAATCTTTTTATTTGAAGTGCAAGGTTTATGGAATAGACACAGGCACATCAGAGTGCAAAAGCTGGCTTTATGTAGTTCATTAAGCATGACACCAATACAGTAAAACTGATTTTCGCTATTCACTGCAAACAGATTCAGATCAGGGGCTTTACTTCGATAAAGCCACCTTGGGAGACCTCTCTTTCTCCTTTAGCTGTCAAGGGAGGCTAAGCCTATGCGAATGAGCAGCAGCGTTCCTCCTCCAAATAACCACATTACTGGATTCCTTTATTCCTTTAGTCCCCCTCTACTTCTTGGCATTCCTTCATTTCCCCAGCACTGAGATACCACAGCAAAGATTTGGGATGCAAAATATGTTGTCCACGCACCTCTGAGATTTTCAGAGCCTCTTAGGAACTCTTAACGCCAAATTCCTTTTCATTTTATTCCTTAAATGGATTTGGATATTTCAGCTATAATGATAGTGTGGGAATGATAACTATTTCCCCCAAGATGCTTTTTTGAAAAGGCATTTTTTTAAATGAAAACTCCACTGATATTACACAGATACATTGCATCCATGCATGTGAAGAACACATTAGCCACTGGGCCAGTGGAACATCTTAATCCCATTAAAGCCAAGCTTTGGCCTTTTCCAGCACATTGTCAGGTTTTTCATCACATTTTTGTTGCTTGGTTTTGTTGTTTGTTTCTTTTGTTTGTTTTGGTTTTTTGTTTGTTTGTTTGGGGGTGGTGGGAGGGAGGGAAGGAGTATTGAGCTGTAGAGCAAAACCTAACAGGTAAACACCAGTCTTGGGTTTAACACTGCTAATTGACAGACACTTCAGCCACCTCCTAAAATACTCACAGACAGGATGCCCAAAGCTGCTCTTGCACAGCACTGGCCACCCTGGAGCAATCACACAATTCCAGCTGACCACACCACGTTCCCACACATGGAAGCAAAAATGCTGATTCTAAAAATGACAAAAATCTTTTTCACAGGAGAACAGGGTAAGAGGCATCTTTGGATTCTTAACTAAATCAAGAACAAGACTACTCACAGCAGATAGAGATCAGGAGACCTGAATCAAAACCTCCCAAAAATTCAGTGTGGGATTTAATTCTCTGACTGTGGACACTGAAACTTAAATTCATAAATCCCTCTGAAGGGTCTGGCTAGAACCTAGGAAAACCCCGAGGGCAGATCAGCCTTCACTGCTCAGTGAGCAAAAACTGAATCTGCAATTAGTGACACACTATACTAGGGAGCAGCAGAGCCTCACGGACCGAAGCAGAAAACTCCACACACTGCTAATGGTATCCTGTATTGCAAATGATTTCTTGCAAAGCTCATTTCCAAAAACACTATGCCGGGTGATGGGCACGCAGTACAAGGCTGGCAGAAGAAAGGGTGGCAGAGGCTTGCTGTTAAATTGTCCCAGCTTCAAGCTTAAAAAACCAAAACACCACAAACGAAACCAAACTTACCACTAACCTAGAGCGAGCAAGCATAATTTTTTACTGAAGTGGCTCTGACTTCCAGAGAAGCAAAGTTCTCAGAGAAACTGGCCCAGCAACTCCAGGCTGCATATGAAAAACACACTTACAGCCCTAAGGAATAACAGTCCAAACCAACTGGGATCCCTGCAGCTTCTCACAGACAAAGATAACACAGGAATTTGCTCCTTAAGTATACAAACATATGAAACTAGATTACAAGAGTAACTTGATTCCCCAACACACACCCACACACCAAATGATGCCCTTGGAAACAATATTATTTTTTAAAAAGCGCTTTGAGAAAGTCAACCAGAGCAGCAGAGAAACCAGTCCACAACAATACACAACAGCAGAAGGGTCTCTATGCAACAGAGGACACCACTTCATAGAGCAGATGCCTATGGGGGCACTGGTGCTCTCTCCTCACCTCCTGCAGCTTGGACAAATGGTGGGGGTTCTGCCAGCAAGATAAGTCTCACAACCATCACCAGCCTCCCTTTTTTCACAGCTCACACAGGCGCCTACACAGCACCAATGGTTTGCTGGGGTCTTTTGACTTGCTAACCCCAGGATGTACAAAAGGCTCCCTGCTCCTGGCTGCTGCAAACGGGCTGAAGAGTGGTGGTCCCTGTGGCTCCCAGGGCCCAGACCCAGGGGAAAGGCATGCTTTTGATCCCTGGTCTCAGAAGGAAGAAGAGAAAGAGCCAACCCTACTGTCTTCCTCATTTCAGATATACATCAGCCTCAGCCGAACAGCTTGGGATCATAGGTTTTGTTTATTTATTGGAGGGAGGAGGCGCCCAGAGAGAACTGTTTCAAACTAGCACGTACCAGATGGAGGAATTCTGTACATTTTCATTTCCTTTCTACTTATAGCTTGGTCAAAAGAGGCCTCGTGTACCGGAAGCAATGGAAATTCCTCAGATTCCTCAAAGGGAAGGGCTGAGCCCATCTTAAGCCATTGCTCTCCAGAAAGGAAATCCAATAAAGCTTCACACTCGAGTTTAGTAACAGAACTGGGCTCAACTGATTGCAGCAGAGTTTCTGTGCCGAAGAAGAAATGCAGCTGCATAAACTCAGTAATTCACAAATAAAATCCTGAACTGATGCAAACTCCATGTCACAGCGCAGACCTTGCTCGGCTTACCATGGAGTGCTGTTTTCCAGAAACATGAACATACGGCCCCCACTCTGCCTTCTGCTCTGGAGCCTGCCTGGCAGACCCCCTGTTGAGGCTTCAGAAATGAACTATGTTCATGGGGATCTGCCCAAGCCAACTGCAATGGCCACCATCTCAGGGACCGGCACGTGTTTTACAGGGGTAAATCCACATCGATGCGCTTTTAATTCTGACTGCCTTCCCCTGGGGCAGAGAGGAGCGTGGGATGCTGCTCAGGCAGAGGGTGCAATTATTGGGGAAAAGTTGGGGAGGAATGGGAAACAGGAAATGAAAGAGGAAAACAAACACTCCCTCCCAGATTCCCACACAGCTGTTGTCCCTGGCTAATGACTTGGGCTTCAGACCAATAAAGCTGTCTGACAGCATAAACTCTGTGCTTAGTAATAAGCCGAGCCTCAAGCATCAGACCACAGCACCCTCTTCACAACACACCTTGGAGCAGCTGTGAAAAGCTCTAGGATGGTCAACAAGATTTATCCCAGAATCTTCTCCTTGGTAACCAGTTATACTTCAACATGAGTCACCTTCATCTCAGCACGGACACAGCTGCACTTTTCAAGCCCAGCAATTTTATGTGGCCCAGACTTGCACCAGAGCAAGCTGGCTGCAAAACACCGTTGAGTCTACGGGGTAGGAAAGGGGGCACTAATGTATCACCTGACCATCTCAAAACCTGCCCTTCTCCAAGAGCAAAAAGTGTCAAGAGGAACTTCTAAAGTGATTAACAAACTCCCTATTCAGCAGATTCACCCAAGTCTCCATGAAACTCATAGTACTGCCAGTAGGAAGATGAGCATAAGCTTCACTTAAGACTGGACAATTCAGAGGTTTTAGTAAAGCAAGAACAGAGAGAAAAAACAAACAAACAAAAAAAAACAACCAACACCACAACTTCCCAAGTCCAAAATGAGATTCTCCCAGCTTAAAAAAATAGATTCACATTGTCAACTGATGTTAACTGCTCCAAATCAGACATGCCTACAAGTCCTGATCACATACTATCACAAACTCTTTCACCATGTCTTGCAAAAACATACCCCCTTCCATAATGCTGAAGACACAGAAACAAGGAAAAAGTAGTCACCCTCACAGCAGACCCTGCATTACAGCAGCCTCTCAGCCACATACAGCAATGGACAGGTTCAAACATGGAGAGCAAGATCAGTTTGAAGAGTCCAGTGTGCTCTCCACACTGAGTCACAGAAGGAGCACTTAGAAATCAATCCTTCAAACAATTTTTAGTACTGGCTGTCACGTAACAGGTAGGAGATAGACTGAAAGGCAAAGTGAAGGCCAGCAGCTTATATTTCACATGACAGAGCAAGGGGTGCTCAGAGAAGGCCTCAAAAAACCCTGGTACAATTTAAGCAACAGGGTGCAGATAGATCCATGGACACATGCTTCTTTCTCCTAAAATTCCCAGGTTTACCTGAAATGGGTCATATTCTGCCTTCAAAACACATCACCTTCAAGCACCCTGGTGACATTTTGCAGGCTCTAAAAAGCCTGTATGGCTCTGCTGTAGGTTTGCAGACTTTTTCAAAATGTTAGCCAATTCTTGCATTTTCTCAGCCACCCAAGCTTTTCCCGTGCTTCTGTACAAATCCTAAGCCCTGAGAGCAAGATTGCATTGCACAAGATTTTCCTCCCCAGCCACACTTCACATCTCAGCTGCTCCAAGTGACCATCGCTATTCCCTCCCCGATTCTTGCAAACATGGGCAACCCCAACCTCTCCAATCTCTCTGTTTATTAAACTTTCCTACCTGAAAGGCTTGCTGTCTGGATCCGTGTCCTTGAATCCCATCTCTTCGAGCTTGCAGCGCCTGTAGAGCTCGTAGTGTCGGGTGTGTGTCTGCTCTCTCAAGTCCTCCATGTTCACTCGGATCAGCATCTCCCGCAGCTTCACAAAGTCACAGTGGTTTTCATTTTCAACTGCAAAAAAGACAACCATCCACAGAGAGAACGTTAAACCCAGGAGCCAGGTCCCCCCCTTTTCCCTGGATCCGGGCCCCAGTTCAACAAGCCCAAGAGTTCTTCAGACACACAAGCAGAACTCCAAGTCAGCCTTCACCAAAATGCCTTGCTGAACTGGGGACGAAACCATCCCCAACACATAGGCACCAGTTCAAGGCCTTTCACTGGATTGGCAAGATGTCTGTGCTGCCCATCTGCCATAGAGCTCCTGTCTCTCCACGCATTTCTGCAAGGTGATGATCCATTTGCTCACCAGGTTTCACTTCCCACTCAAATCCACTTTAAACCCAAGTCAACAACAGGGGCACAGGGAGGCAACAAAGTCTCAGTTTGTAGCAGCAGTGAAAGGAAAGATTATGAGAAGATCCAGCCAGAGATGCTGTACCCTTTTCCATGTCAGCTAGCCTTATGAAGGAGCCCTAAATCCCCGCTCCTGGCACTGAAGGGAGGCAGCACAGAGAGTATAACGTGGCTTCCCATAACAGCTTCTGTTCAGAGTAGGGTCTGGTGTGTCATGGTCAGCCCTTGGGTGAGCAAGCTGTTCGGTGTGAGAAGGGCAAGTGGCCAGAGGGCTGCATGCTTCAGTGAGGGCAAACAGCCAGGGCACGCTTCGAGCCAAGGAGCAGAAGTTCTCTCTTTAGGATGCAGCGGCAAGCAGCAGGCATCTCTGCTGCTAACACAGCTCTGCAGCATGCCCTGGGGACATGGTGAAGCACTCCCACAGCAGCTGTCTCTGCAAAGGGGCAGTTCAGGGCGAGACCTTCAAAGCCTCACTGGTACCCAACTAAACATCTTTGACTCTCTGGTGCTAGTTTTCTGCGAAAAGCAAGAACCCAAAAGGATACGTGTCAAGTCCAAGACATCCCAAACATATTAACTTCTTTCCCAGTTGTGAGTTATTCCCAGTATTATCCTCTGGTGTACACAGCTGAACACAGTAAGTCTGAAGCTGCTTTCAGGGCCAGCTTGTGTTACTGAGAAAAACTTGGTGAGTTTTGCAGAATTGCCCAGTGAATGTTCCCCTGCAGTTTGCTGGGTCATTCTCCAACCGGATACACAAGCTGAAGCCACAAGCAGATCACCACCATCTCAACCCTCTACTTCTCAGCACTGGTTGGGAAAACAAGAATCAGCCCTATCTTTGGCAGCTTCAGTACAGCTTGAGTTGCAACCACAGCCCTTCCCAAACTCTACTCCCCAACAGAAAGGAGCTTTTGGCTGAAAAATTTATGAGCAATTGCATACTTAAGCTGCATGTCCACAGTTTACAATACCAGGACAAAACATACCAAGCAGCCAGTGATGAATTAGTTCTGCTCCCACTTCAAGCTGAGAGAGCAGAGGACCTGCTGACCTCCTCAGAAAACCCCCCAGCTATGAGTTTGCATTCAGGTTCATACACAAGGTCCAAACCGAATCACTCTGCTGTCAAAGCTCATGCTTTTTGCTGGTAGAAAAGCATAAGGAACAGAGAATGGAGATTTAATTTTTCATTTCTCAAGCTAGTTATTTAGCATCTCTTAGTAATGTTAACCTGCTCTTTCCCAAAGCCAATGGCTAGGTTGACACTGCCACCTTTCTGCCAAACCCTCTCCATGTCTAAATCTAGGTTGCAAAGCCCTGATTTCAAGGAGAAGTCTTAGAGCTATGATCTTGTTTTCTCAAGACAGATTTTGACCAGAACCATCCAGAGATCTGTGCACTTTTCATCAGAACAAGTCAGGATGACAAGGTCTTATTTGTTCTTCTGGTAACATACCCTGCACAACACCCCAGGGGTACTGTCTGGCTTTTGCCATTTTATTGCCAATCTTCACTTCTTCAGTGCTGCCAACCACAGCAAAAGGAAGGTGGACCTACAAAAGGAAAGGGACAATAAGGTTAGGGATTTCCTTTGCTGCCTTGCCAGGGATTGTTTCTGAAGAAAGCTGTTTACAGGGCAGCTGCCCTGGATTTAAGTTGCTTAAATGACTTTGCAACTCATCTGGTGTTTTAGAAAAGCAACAGGACGGTCTGGATGAGAAACCTCCTCAGACTTAAAGTCCAAAATTCTGAAGTCCTAAAAATACAAGAGATGTACGTATTTTTCATATAATTACAAGGCATGACTATCTTAAGCACAGCAGAAGTCTTACAAACAGGAATTGAATTTGAACACTGAGGAAAAATAACTGTCAAACAATAAAAGAAGAAAATTAAATACCTCCTCCCAAGGAGGGTACATTAAAATTTCAGGGGTTTTCTGCTGCTAGAAATAACTACTTCCTCTTAAAAAGGGCAAAGCTGTGAGCAAGGGGAAGAGCAGAGTGGACCCAGCCCTGGGCCGACACGTCTGAGTCACCGAGCTCTGCTAGGTCCCAGTCTCTCCATGGGTGTGGTGGTGACAATCTGGGATCTACTCCCAGAAGCGTGGCTGCTGCCGGGAGGGAGCTGGCCTCTGCTGCCAGCCCACCCCTGCAGTGCTCTCCCTGCCATCCAGAAGGGCCAGGCACAAGCTCTGAGAGCTGGTGTGGTGGCAGCCAAGCCATGGTCACAGGCTGGGTGGGAGGGGAAGAAGCCAAGTGGCAGAGGAGATGTGATTAACTGGCAAAGGAGTTTCCCAGTTGCCAGGCTGCACCAGAGGAAGGCAAACACACACTGCATGTGCTGCACCCTGGCAGAGCCATGCCCCTTCTCTGTGCCAGCTTCTCCCCATTGAGAACACAACATAGTCAAGGAAAAGAGGCAATATCAACATTTGGAGAGGGTCTGATATCAAGCTGGATGTGACAATTGCTCATCTACAAGCAGTCATGCAGGGAAATTCACAAAAGCCTTCAAGTTGCAAGGAAATGGCTTAATCTCGATGCCTCTGTTGCTTGTAAAACTGCTGGTAAGTCAATCTCATCCTTGCACTTGCTTTTGAGTGCACTTGCTTTGGGTTTGGCATGTCTTCTTCAGTGTTACATGCCCCATGACAGTCCCTCAAGGGCCTAGTCACCACTGCTGTGACACGCGTCACTGCCAGAAACCCTGAGCTTGGTTCTTCCCCTTACGCTCCAAATCAGGCCCATGGGAAACAGTTGTTTGCCTCTGTAAATCCCACTAAAACGTTTGCTCTACCCTAAGTCCTGTCTGCCCTAAATGCTAGAGGAAGGGGAAGGAGGTGAAAGCCAGAGCCCTTGCTGCTGATGGCCCCCGGCCCTGTAGAGAGCTGGAACATCATTGACGCCCCCGCTCCCACCGGAAAGCAAAAACAAAGGCAGAAGTGAATCACCCCCCACTAAGTAACAAGTGGTCATTTGGGACAGGAAACCCAAACCCCAGCCCTTTGCCCTGACCACATTAGGGCCCTGCCTCCCATCCTCTTCCTTTCCCAAGATGGCAATACTGCAATAGGGGAAGGATATGAAAAAAATGCTCAGAGGGGAATCGTTTACCATAAAATTAATTATATCTGGCTAAGCAGCCCACATGTGACCGGTATCTCCAGCTCCAAAAGCCTTCTGGCCAGCCTGGTATTTATGCTTAGGCTGTAGTTCTGAAGCCAAAAGAAACACGGCACAATGTGTCCTACCATCAGGGATGGGCCCACTCAAACCAAGGCAAGCAAACCCCCTCCCAAAAACATACACTCATCGTGGCATTTATCTCAGCTACTGTCTCTTCATCCGTCGGGAACTGGTAGATCTGGACGCCATTGCTGACCAGCTCACTCATGATTTTACTCTTGAACTTGTGCAACTCATTTTTTGCAATGGTGTCAGCCTTGGCAATGATGGGGATGATGTTCACCTGCAAGACAAAGAACAGTATCTCCACATACAAGACTGCCCATGTTGCATCAACGGGAGAGGACAGAGAGCAGCATGCATCCTGCAGCAATGTCCCTGTAAGTACCACCAGCCACCACCTCCCCAGTGGAAGACCTTCCCTGGGGCTACTGCTGACAGCACCACTGCCTTAGACAGGATTTCCAGGCAGCAGTGATGATGGCCTTAAAAAGAAGTCAAATGCAATTTGGCAACATGCTATTTCCTGGCCTGTCATATTCTGCTCCTCATCCAAACTGGCTGGACAGGAAATGCTGTCACAGATTATTATGAACTGTTCCAAAAAAAAAAAGAAAAGAAAAGAAAAAGGAAATTACTATCTATGCACGTCTCCTCCATGCCACAGCCAGCTGGATTACTGCAAGAGACCCACTCAGACAATAGCCTCTTGGGCATTTGCTCAGTGTTGTTATCAGGGACACCTGGGTGGGCAGCAGTGCTGCTGTTACCCCACTGGAGGTGGGAGCAGATGGTCCATATGGAACCATGCGACACACAGGGAAGGGGCTGCCAGTAACAGACACACTTCCTCCACCTGCACGCCCTCATTTGCTCCCATGCACCGCTGTACTGCAGGACTAGGGCTGATTTCTCCCTGCACAGCTTTAAGACAGTCACCCAAGAGAACTGCATGAGAGGGTTAACACAGAAATTAAAGATAAGTTACTGACCCTCCTCCCTAGACAGGCTGTTTGCAACACTGACAGCAGGATGGCAAACAGCAACACCATCTAGAAGCCAAGGGGAGACAGCACAGTACCCTCAGTGTAGCACAGATCAATGCACAGCAAGCACCACACAAGCATCTGCTTTGCTAAGAGAGGGCAAGAATGCATTAGGACAAGGAGTCCTGCTTTCTTTCCATTTTACTCCCTCCAGAGGGGCAATTTCTGCTTTTGATCTTGCAGGATTTGCTTCTCCTTGCAACAACAGACAAAAATGTAGCGAGAAAGATATTGATATTGACCTATATGAAAGGATTCTAACTGCAGTACTTGGAAATCCTCTTATGTTACATCTCTTAATGCCGTTCAGAGTATGGCCTGGAGTTATTAAATCCCCCTTTGCCAAAAGATAGAAAATGAATGCCAATTAGCTCGCTTTGCGTAAATCTCCATAACTCTATTTTAAGTTGAATAGGGCAGGGACCCTTCTCCATCACTGCATAAAACCCAATCGATAGGCCACTCTAGGAAATAAAGAGCCATTGTCATCATTTATCTTCTGCAGAATCAGGATCCAATGAGCCAAAGGTGCAGGGTGGTCTGATTTAATTTCCTTAATCATGATGTAAAGCAGCACAGAGAAAGCTCCGTTTAAATACTCAAGTTTTACATTTGTACTTCAGTTATTTTCCCTAGAAAATAGCAAGTATTTAGTAGAACACCATGATATGAAGCTCAGTTCCCATTCTTGCTAGTCATGAGGGTAACTGAAAAAGCATATGCCAAGTAATATATTTATTCAGGTTCTTCTTGTTTATCAGATTATGGTTAGAACAACACTACAGCTGCCACAGAAGATCACATCACTGTTTGTGTATAGCTGGATGCAGTCAGAGCGTGCAAACACAGCATTTTGATTTGTTTTTCATTGATTAGTAAGATGACCTAAAGTGTTTTTGGTGTACTTATCTCATACACGCTTACCAAACCAAGTTTTGTATAATAACCTAATTAGTTGGTTAGACAAAGTGAAACAGAGATGGCAACCGTGTCTTTGAGTGCTAGAACTAACAGATTTCAACCTCTCTTTTTCATTTATACATTTAAGGAGGCAAACACTTTTTTCTCTCTTTTTCAACAGCCAACCAATCTTTCAGTTGTGAACAAATCTGTCACTGAACTTGGCTGGGTTTACCCACAGGAAAACAAGAACAGTGGCCTCCTAATACATCCTCATAAATACAGTTTCCTGCTTTCAGATTGCTAACTTCATAGCATAGCTGTGAAGCAAGCAGTCAAGTTTCCTAACCCGAGATGTGACAGGAAAAGGGTAGGAGCCCAAACTCTTAATATATCTCTGCATCATATGAATCAGTGAATAATCACCAATTCTAGCAGCTATGCCCAAGGTAAAGTTTTCACACAGCACCTCTGCAATTCCCCACTGCTAAAAACAGACTGTATTTTTCTGAGCAGGTTTAACTAAGCCTGTGCCAAGATCATAAAAGCACTAGTAGGGCCATGCAAAGGTCGTAAAATAAGCAGCAAGTACCTTACTGTCAAGCTTCTTCATGGTGACCAAGTCTAGAGACTTCAGCGAGTGTCCGGTTGGTGCAATGAAATATAAGCAGGCATGAATTCTGGTGTCGTGGTAATTGAACAGGGATCGTTTGATCTTCAGCTCTTCTTGCAAGTAGGCTTCAAACTGTGCATCAATATATTCTACTATAGGCTTGTAGCTAAACAGAGAAAACAGGGCATAGAGAAAACTAGAGCATTCATTACTGGGACAGCATAGGTCACTGATCACACTCAGGAAGCTTCATGGGTGCTCTGCACAACACAGGGACAAGCACTGGGACCCTCCCAGCCTAACCTACAGTCCCTTCTTAGCAAGCCTGCACTTCCACTTGGTGCCCAGGGAGAGCATTACAGACATATTAGCAAGATAAACTGGCACAGACCCTGGAATTTAGGTGCATGGGAACTACGTGAGGCTGCTACCCTGAAAAACAATGTATTTTACAGCCTTCCCAATTAAAGTCTGAGCTGCTGCTCTGCCAATGTCACCGAGAATCATCCAAGAAAATTTAAACATGAAACTTCCACCCACCCTAACTTGTCCAAAAGCTTGTTTGGGAGATTCACAAGGGGACAAAAGGAACTTTTCAGGAATCAAAGTCTGTGAGCAAAGCCCAGCATACAACTACACTGTTTGGATACTTTGGGGGGACTATTTTGTTAGAGAAAAAACGCTAGTGAAGTGTAACATGCCCTGATCTCACTGATTGTGCTACTGGAGAGGGAACTTTTTGGTTTGTTCCTCCCTCCACCAAGGGCAGCCTCAGGCCCTCTGGCCCAAGGAAGCTCTCGAAGGAGGACATTGAGACCAAGACAAAACTTCCACTGCCTTCAACACTGGATTCACAGCAGTGCTAATACCCTTCCTCAAAAGCAGTTGTGAGGAAAAAAAAAATAAAAAATAGACCAACAGAAGTTTTCAGGTCCTCCAGAAACACTCTTCTAACAGGCAGCCAGCAAGGCTCTGCTCTGGCCGCTCTTCTCCAACTGTTTGAGCAGTTGCTTAATATCCTAAGCAAAGCAGAGTAGACTCACTCTTGATTGACCAAGCAAGAGCTATAGAACGACAAGCAGCGCTGCGTGAGGGCTGCCAACATCAGAGACCCACACAACAGTACTGAGCACTGCTTGGCAATTTGCAGGCACAGAGGGTATCATGAATCTCCCCGTGTAGGTTTGTAACACGACTGCTGCTCCAGTTTCTTTGCTTTCAGAAATTCTGACTCTGATTACGAGCCCCCAAAACCTCAGACACAGGCACGTTGCAAAGAAAGCAGTAAGGCCTAACATTGGGAGATCATATTAGAGAAAGCACCATAAAAAAGCAGAGCAAAAAAAACCTGAGAGGTCTCAAACCAGGAGCACAGAGGAAATGCCACCCACTGTGGCCATATGTATCAGGACACAGCAAGACAAAAGCTGCCCCTAAGTCCTGCTGCCCTGTGACTGCCCCTCTCTCCAGCCACCTGAGAGGGAAGTTGGAGGGGTTTCACCACCGACACTGCTGGCTCTTCTCATCTGCCCAATGAAGCAAATGCAAAGTGACCCAGCAGTAACAAGCTACAGAGCATCCCTGCTCCGAGCACCTGCTCCTTCCTCCTCTGAGCAGCTTTTGTTCTCGCCCGAGAGCATATGGCAGCAGCTGACAGGCAGAGCTCTCCCTCCAGCCAGCATGCTCTGGAGCACCAGTCAGGAGCAGGAGCTGCAAAGCAGGGGCAAGAGTGCTATTTTGGGGTCAGGTCAAGAAGCAAGGACATGTTACAAAAATAATGCACTATAAAACCTTTTTTTAAAAAAAATCTATAGAGTTTTCCTTATGGAACAGGCAGCAGAACGTGCTGAGTCTCCACGCTAACAGGGATCTTGGTGAAAACTTTGATGCTAAGCCTGCATTTTCAAAGAGCTTATGCTGTCTGTCTCCCTAGTGCCCCAATGGCTTTGGTCAGCGTGCAGGCTGCCAGCCAGCGTGCCCTCACTCTGCAATGTGCACAGAAGAGGATTGCAAACACCCCTTCAGAGGGAGCCAGGATTACTGCAGCAAGGGAACGTATGCCTCTCAGATACAGGAAAAGCATTAATTTGAGTATTAGTATGACTAGTTTTATTTTAACACTACAGCAAAAGTCCATATGGATGGACACAGGACTGCGTGGGCTGCCCAGAATATTTACTTCATGCACGTAACATGTAAATCAGCACCCGGGTACAACACTTAAGTAAAACCCACTTCAACTTGAACATCGTAGGATGTTGTGAATTGGAACTCTGATCCGAGCCCCAGCTCCCCAAAAGATGCAACATAATTGCAATTCGAACTCATACTTTCAAATATTTACATGTTTTAACTCAAACAGACTTTAACTGAGCTGCACAGAGACGCAGAGGGCAGAAAGACAGTTTCAATTCTGTAGCCTAGTTGATCTGCTTGTTCTTCACTGTTCCTACCCATCTCTTGGGGCAAGTGATGCTAGCTGCTACACCAGGATCACAAAACACCCCCAGCAACAATAAGGGACCTACTGCCCACACAGGGTCAGCCCTTCTGGTCTCAGAGGACATCAGCACAAGGATTCCTTCTCCCGACGGAAATAAATTTACCTGTCATCTTTGTTAATTTGATCGCCAAATCCAACTGTGTCGACAATAGTCAGCTTCAGACGGACGTTACTCTCCTGGAGCTCATAACTCCTGGCTTTCAATCTCACACCAGGCTCGTTGTGCGTCGCAGGTTCGCTTTCAAACTTGGTATTGAACAGAGTGTCCATCAACGTTGACTTGCCGATGCCAGTTTCACCTGAGCAGACACAGGCAATGTTAGCACAGTCCGACTGCTTTTCCTCACCTGATTCTCAGGCACATTCGCCAAGCTAAGGCATTATTCCACTTGGGCAGCAGTGGAATTAGGCTCCGTGCACATGGCTAAACGAAATAATCCCTGCAGGAACAGATGTCTTTTGAGACAGTCCCCATCTTTACCAATCCCCCAGAACTGAACCAGGGACTTTGTGGACACTGGGAGGTGACAGCAGCTCTGGCTTCGGCTGCTGGCCTCCGACTAATTTCCTCCACAGGTCACACCGCCAGGGTCTGCAGCACACCTTGCAGCCATACCCCATCAAAGCACCACACGCTGGGGATGCAAATCCAAAATGAGCCCCTGCTAGGCAAAAGCTGCTACTCTGACAGACATCAAGATCATGCAAATGTCTTCGGCACTTGCAGGTAAAGAGCTAGGCTGCTGTGCTGGGAATGGCAAGAGAAATTTGTGGGCTGGGTTTTCCAAGGGAGGTGTACCACAAATCACAGGCAAGGACACTGAAAGGGGCATCCCTGAGATACTAAGCGCCACTGCCCTCAGGGATTTTTCATTATTTTGTGAAACAAGCCCCCTTTCCTTGTCCATACACACAGTCTTTTCCCGTAATACTACTGTTAATGTTTTCCATGGGAAACAGAGAAACTGGAGAGGAAGCAACTGAGGCTTACGAGACTCCCTGAAGAAAAGGTACTAAACTGGAAGGAAGAGAGGAAAAAAATACAATAAAAAAAACAACAACCCCCTCCCAAAATCGTGACAGTTTTAAGAACTGTTACATAGACATTTGCCAAGTGACCCCCCTTCTCGAAGAAGGGAAAGGGCTCCCTCCATGATGAACCAGCAAATGCTGGACTAGATGACCTTAAAGGTCCCCTCCAACCTAGATGGTTCTATGATTCAATTCTATGCCTGCTGCTGCTAGAACCCTGTTACTGGACTTGCTACGCTGGCAGCACAAGGGACACAATCAATCATTCTTTTCCCATAAAAGTATTTGTTCCCAGTGGTCTTCACATTGGTATGACCCAACTGGTGATGCAGGCTCCCTCCTGCTTGATAGCATGAAGAGCCCCAACCTCCCCACCTTGCAAGCAATATCTATATTCGGGACAGCAAGAAGCTGTTCTTAGTCGAAAAATACTTAATTATCTTTTTAATAGCAGAGACTAAGTCCTAATTCTGATATGATTTTTTTTACAGAAGTTGTAAAATTCTCTCAACTCCAAATTTGATTCCTGAGGAGGTATCTGATTCTCTACAGGTTTTTATGCTTTTTTTCAGCTCAGTTTCCACTTCTGTTCCAAAAGAACCACAAAAAACCCATAGTGAACCTTGGGAAATGAAAGTTTGAGACAGGGATACATGAAAAGTTTTCAGAAAAAAATCGAAAATAGCACACTGCTTAAATACCAACTTTTAAAACTATTACAGGTTCACTAATCCCCAGTACAATTAGTAACATGGATGAAAGTATTGGCCTAAATCCTGTTTTTAAGTCAAAAGTGTTTGCTTAGTAATTACACTGCTACTACTGCCCATGCTGCGAGCACAGGGTGAGCTGAGGTAACATCCTGAAATTGCTCCAACCAAATTGATGCTGGGATTTGGGACAGAGCTCCTGGACTGCAGTGGGCAGGCTCTGGCATTTGCAGGTCAGGCTTGTGAGGGGTCCTATTGCAACCTCTTAAACCCCCTAAAATGGGAAGTAAAACAAAAGCATAGAAAAGCAAAGCAAAATATCAGGTGGGAGAGAAGAGCCTGCATCTGGGATTAAGCCTCTCTCTAGAGTGTACACAGCTCTCCTAGCATGAAAAACTCTTGCAAAATATGTAAACCCCCTACTTAGACGACCTCAGAAAACCATATAGCTTTTGTGTCCAGAGGAAAAAAAATAACACTACTCAGCAACTACCTGTTGCTCTGCGATACTTGACAGTTCATTTTGCTGGCTTTGACTTTGACCACTTTCCATGCTAGGCTCAGGGAGGTACGTGGTTACGTACAGCCCAGTAAAACAGTCGAGCAGAGATATGCTTGTCACAGCATTCCTACCCTGGGAAGCTGCAGGACATAAAGCAAGCTTTTAAAGAAGAATGAATAAATGAAAGAGGGGGAAGACTGAAAGTCTACATGACATTATAACTCAAAATCTAGGCCCACATAGAGCGCAACCCACACGAAAAGATCCGTCCTAAACTGATGGCACAGACTGTTAATCTCTGAAGCTACATATTTTAGTGGGCTCCTGATGTGAATGCAGCACTGCTGCATGCTGTGCTAGACAGACTTCGCAGCATTTTATCCGTGCAGACCACAATTAAAAGCCTCACATTACAATGCCAAGTTAATTGTGTCCTTTCTCGGAACACAATTTCAAAAGTTTTGGTTTGGTTTTTATTTAAAGGGGGAGATTTCTATTCCTTGGACAACTGCAGCAATTTGTGTGAAATTTTTATTGGGGGTGGAAAAAAAAAAAGGTTGATCAGCACATTTTACAAGAGAAAAGAGTTGGACCAAGTTGCTATGTTAATGGAGACATATAAAGTCACATTAGGAGAGGAATATTTACTGCAAGAGAAAAAGGCAATTAATTTATGCTATTTTGATCAAAGAGCTGCCTGCTAGTTGGGCTGCTCCCTGCTGAATTTTAAATGGTTTCATGCTGCTAGGAGAGAGTCACGTGAGGGTTGGTAGCTTGAGTATGCAGAAGTACAACTATTCTCTTATCTCCTTCTTCAACATGCAAAGCTATAGAAAGGAGTCTAGTTTGTGTGCCAGATTTCTTTTCAGACAGCTCATGCTGCACTGCAGACAGAAATCCCCAACTTGTTGTAGAAAAATCACAGTCAGAGGGTTGTGGGTTTTTTCCACCTAATAATGTAACTAATTAGAAGGGACAATATTCCCTTCTTGCAGGCTTAAAAGAACAATGAATGGAAAGATGATGTTTGTAGACTGCTCTGCCAAACTAAGAGTAAAACCCCCCATTTTTGTCAATTTACAGAACTACATTCTGGGGGCACCTTGAAGAGGTCCACCTGTGGGTCAAAGCTGTTTCAGCACAGCTCCCTAGGGCTGAGCAAGGGATTTCCAATTGCACAGTATCCATAGAGTGCCAAGACAGCAGGTATCTCTCTATAGCCAAGAGAAGGAGTTGCCTCCCCATATTTCACCCTCTGAAAAATTTGGGAAAAGTAACATTAACTCAGGCTATAAAACCAACTTGTACCACTCAGATTAAATACAGCAGATAATAGGTGACAGGCTTTGTTCTCAAGTACATCATTTGGAGACTAAAAATGGCATCGTTTCCAACTGGAGAAACTAAGAATATAACGAGACAGGCAGGCAAAGCCTGGAAGGGAAGGAATGCAGTTTTTTGAGAAACAGCCCCTGCACCCAACCCAGAGAAAGGCAGATTTAAGTTAACATTCTTTGAAAAATACATTCAGTTCCCAAGTTAGCTCACTTTACTTATGGGCAGCCCTTGGGGAAAGCAGAACTGCAGGACCATCAAAAGGGTAGATTTTTTAACACCTAGAAATTTCCATGTTTTGAGTCAGGGAATGGGGTAGAGCAGTGCCCACTGGCTCAGACCTTACTCTTCACAGGAGGAAGAAGGCGCTAACTTGTGGATGCACGTGCATTCCTCGGCATGAAGAGACCACCCAGTGGTGCAGGATGACTTACCCACACAGAGGATGTTGAAGCAGAAGCCCTGTGATGTTGACTTGTTGACCAGCTGATCAGGGAGGCTGTCGAAGCCCACATGGCCAGAGAGGGACAGGTTCCTAAGGTCATCGCTCTGTAAGACCAAGAACAAAGCCATTTAACAGGGTTGCAAAGCCCCACCAGAGAAGGCAGCTGTGCCTAGTCCTGTCAGAACTGTGTAACACCAGAAGAGGTCTTGGGACACACAATCTGTCTTAGGTTTGCCTCCCAGATGTGCTCTACTTTTACTTCTATCTAGTTTTCTGCTGTGGGGCTCAGGAGCTAAAACATCTCCAACCCCAAGGCATACAAACACTACCAGACTGCCTCTCCATGATTCTGTACCAATTCACAACACCCAGACATTGTTTCTGAGGCCTCAGCATCACATATCCCTAGAGTTACCTAAAGATTGTTTAGGCAGACACCTGGAAAAGAGACAGTGAAACACAGTCATAGCTGCAAGCAGATCAATTCCTGTTTAATTGCTGAAGCAGCCCAGTCTGCTTCCTCCATGAACACGGTACAGCTCTATGGCAGAAACCAGCCAACCTCCCCTATCAAGACTCCCCCAGCAGGGTGGGAGCTTCCCCAAACCATCCAGCGAGGCCAGCTCTCCTGAACAGCACACAAAAGCATAACACAGGTTGCAATGCAGTCCTGGTTGCAACTCCAAAATCTATTCCTGATAGAAACCTGTGGAGGCAAGCAGAGAGCCAAGCCTGTGCTCCCCTTGGCTGATCTTTCCCTTTGGCAAACTGAGCCTTCTCAGGCTTGCTCTAGTCTCCCAGCAGTACACAGGAAACACAATGCTCTCGGACTTTTGCTCCAACCCTGCAGCATGGCCACAGGAGGACATAGTTTAGATGACAACACTGCCTCTAAAGCCAGCTAAATCTCTTTCCAGCTTTTACAGCCTTGACCGGAAGGGAAAAAAAGCAGGCACGCTGCTCTGCGGATGCCTTGGTTTACAAATAGCCCCATCCAACACAAGGTGAGAGAACAGGACACCATTCCCAGCATTTCCTGCGTGACCTTCAAAGCCTGCCATGCTGCCCCTCCATGTCTTCAGCAGAAAAAAAAAATATGCCAGGCTGGGCACCCCAGAGATCCAAGTCACCCCTCCTGACCCACTCTCTTCCTCCAGCCTGCCCAGGGGGCTGGCCTGATAACATCAAACACACCAAAGCCGTTTCATAGAGTGCAATTGAGCAGCACAGACCTCACAGAAGAGAGGTTTGAAACACCTCCAAGATTGTATTGTATTTCTAGGTGTTAAAAAAGGCTTTTCCACAACAGCTGTACAGTAATTCACAGAGAGGTTTGGAGAAAGAAGCCCGCCCAGTTATCTCTTCCCTGGCAAACTGCAGTTTTGCCAACATCCTGAGCACAGATAAAAAAATTAAGAAAAACCTCCTCAGTAGCCCTAGAGCACCTCTGCTGTTATTTCACACATTTTTCTCCTGAAGTTTATTGTCCTTAGCTTAACATACTAACCTTTCTCCAAACCCAAACACGTCCAGTACAGTCACTCCACCTAGGCCATACTTTTGAGCGACATTACAGCCATGGGCAGCCTCAGTCTCGTTTGAAGATGCTGGAAGCACCAGCTGCTTCTCCACAAAAAATCAGTGGGCTTTGGACCAGACATGGAAAAAGACGCTCTTTGGTTGTTATAATAAGAAGGTGGAAGACTTCCGGCTCTCTGTGCAATTGCTAAGCATCCCCACTTCCCTCCTCAAAACATACAGCCTAGCCACCAATTGCAGGAAGAAATAAGTTACATCTGAGTCAAGTGCTGATGAAAATACCACTCAGACTTAAAAAAAAAACACCAAAAAACAAACACCACAGAAATTCTCTGAGCAAAAACTGTCTAAGCCTGTGCTATTACCATATGGCACAAAGGGCTCCCTTTTGCCATGATGGCACACACAGCCTGACACCTGTACTAGATACCTAAGCCTTCTCTTAACACCTGAACCAGGCTTGTCTGAAGGCTTAATGCCAGACTGCTCACCTCCATCCCTCCACATACTGGAGGAAACTTACACGAAACTTACAGTGATGAAGAGTTGCTACCTCCTTCACAGGGGCGGGTAAAAACAAAACAAAACAAAAACAGCACAAAGGAAACTATCACCTCATTTACCCTCAACAGTGATTTTCCTGGAAAAGCCCCAGGCAATGGAAGACAACCCTGGGATTTATTATGTGAATGGGTTAAATTACATATTTGTAACATTGGTATTTTTAAAACGCCAGTGGGCTTGGGTTTATCATGAAGCAAAGGGAACTCGGAGCAGATTCCAGAAAGCAATAGGTGCCCATGACTCACAGGCTTCACAGAAACTGGTGGGTGTTGAACATCTCTCAGCACAGCACCAATATCTCTTTCCCTGATATATTTTGGGAAAGCAAGTACTGCCTCATCATCAGTTACTCAGCAGGAACAGGAGTTAGACTCATCTCTCGCATCTGTGTCAGTTATTTTTGCTGCATACCTTCTTTGGTTTAGTTCCCTCCCCTTTCTATTTTTTTTCCTCTGCAAGTGGCAAACATCAACAGTGGAAAAAACAAAAACTATCTCTACACTTTTCAATGCCAAGTATTTTCACAAGCTGTGCTGCCTAACAGGAGGCAGAAGTGTAGTCTGATATCTTCCTGAAACACCAGAACGCCTATGAAAAGCCCAGAGGCCCAAGGCACGGGCAGAGATGAAAAGCAAACCCAAGCTTCCACCTCCCTCACTATTCCCCAGGCTGTAACACATCTCATTGAGTGGATACAGAAAATCTGTGCATTTCTGCAGAAGCGTCACAGATATGCATTTTGGACAAGGCAGGAAAGCCAAAGGGACTAGAGTTTCTAAATATCTCCCTCCACACAAACGAAACAGTTCTGTAACAGCCAGTTCCAGCGCACACAGATGGACTCAGAGAGCAGAAGCTTTTTTGGGAGGGAGATGCAGGCTGCTCTGAGAAGAAGGATTAAAGGGAGGTGCACACACTGCATAACTTCTTACCACTGCGGCCACACCTCTGCTCTTGCTTTCACCCTCTTCAAGTGGGTAGTTTATACCTGTTCAGTAAGTACAGGGATGCTGACACAAGGAGAAAAACCCTGTATCCTTTCTCTGCTCTCCCCACAGCAGAGGTTTCAGAAGCAGGCTGGAAGCTGCAGGACTCCCCATGAGGCTCTGTGGCCCATTGAGCCATGGCACAGGTCAGCCAAGGATGCCAATCAGCAAAACCACAATGGGCAATTTTACGAATTAGCCTGATGGCATTGGACTGCGCAGTTTGGTCTTATTAGCTCAGCAGTGCTACAGTTGTCAGCCCTTGGGCTGCCTGGGGAAGGGACAAGGACTGAAACCACTGCAAACTCAGGAGTAGCTCATGAGCTCAGGTTTTACCCACATGGAAAAGAAACCTTTGCTGGAGAGCAACAAGCATGATTGCTCAGTGTATAATTAGCAGAACAGACAAGTGATTCACGCATTCAGTCTGGCAAAACAGAAGTGTTCTAAAAACAACGGGATGCTAAGTCAGATGGCCACGCTGCTCTGGCTGTGAATGGCTGTGACAAGCCCCTGAGAAGAGTGGGCTGGGTTTTGATCTCAAGTGAGTCATCCCACTGAAAACTGGGTGCCTCCAGCTGAAGAATGGTCAAAGGCTGACATAGACAAAGGCTCCTGCCCCACAGCAACGAGCCTAGAGCTCCCATACACACCCAGCAAGCCAGGGGAGCTACCAGCATTGCTTTATTCCTCCTGCCACAGGGCTCTTCTTCCAGAGAAAGGCAGCGGGGCTGCCCAGACACTTCGCCCCAAGTGGAAAGGCATATATCATCACCCAGCCTCACCAACTTCTTCCCAAGGGTACTCCTCGTTTTCCCCTCTGATGATGAGCAGAGCTCAGAATGCTTTTGAACTCAGCACAACCCCACTATTCCCCTAATACTGCACCTAAATACACACCTGGACTAAAACAGCTCCTCAGCTCTCACTCACAGTAACACAGTCCTAAGAGATGCCTTATTAATGCACAGACAGGTCGCTCAATCTGTAAGCACTGACCTCTTACGAGCGTGCTAAGAGAAGAATTGTTTGCCAAGCACCCCTCCTTGCTTGCAGCTTCAGAAGCAATGGACAAGATCAGCATGGGGAAAACTCCAGCTTCACAGACTTCTATAGAGATCAGCCAATTTACTCCAGACACGCTGGACTTGGATGTCTGGATGTTCTCAGATGTCAGAGCTTAAAACATCCCAAGAGCAGTCTTTATTTTTAAACTCTTCCTTAAGACACAGTCGTGTCTCCTCTACTGAACTCCACATTACATAGCAAACCCTCTCTCCCTCTTGACATACTACCTGCATGAGGGGGAAGCTGTTCTGAATGTCCAGAACCGTATAGTAACCCCTACAAAAACTATAGAGCAACATGAACAAATAAATACTTGTTTATTGGGAAAGATGCTGATCACTTTACTGTTCTCTGCAGAGTGACCTACGCAGCGTCCCACGGTTAATATTTCCTGGGTTAAGAACAGTCTTTCAGACGTTTTTACCGCAGCTGTTGGTTTTAACTCTAGTAGGACAAGGGAAGGGGTAAGTATAGCAGAGACAGGCCTCCAGAGGTATAGCATACACTATGTACCATCACTACAAAGAGGTTAATTTTCAGGACCCTGTGTCCTATTGATTTTAATTTTAAGGAGGGGGGGGGGAGGGAAGCTTGCAAACACCAAGAAATGGTTTGCAGTGTCCGAGTCCTGTAAGTCTACTTCAGATCTGGTTTTCTTTGTACACAGCTCCTGGTGACAAAGGTTTTATAGGTCAAGCAACGCTGTAACAGTTGCTCTGTGGCCAACAGTGGGGTTGCCTGGATGTAATTCAGTGAAGCTTTATAAAACAATTTGGCTGACGAGACACGTGCAAGGAGAGAATCAGCTCATTCCTACTAAGCCATGGTGGCTTGGCAGAGCCAAGGGGAAACTTATTTCCCTCACTGGAGTCAGCAAGACTATGCCTACACGCGGATGGGGAGGTGGATATAGAGATGTGTCCCATGATCAAAAGTTCATCACTCCT